TTCACTCCTGTGTTGGTGAAAGTGGCCAGGTACCAGTGTCCACGCTGCACCATCACCGGCTGTGGGCTGCCAGAGAAGAACATGGGCTTAGCCCAGTCTCAGCAGTAGATTCCAAATCCACTGAAGCCAAAGCTGTCAGCTGACTGTGGTCCTCACAGTGGAATGTCAGGTTATGTGTGTTAGAAGGGACACACATGCATCTGAAGATGCCCCAGACCTCTTCTTGCACCCCATGGATCCACTCCACCATATACGTGTGGGGCGTTGCTCCTCCAGGGTCCCAGTGTACCTCTCTTCCTGAAGCAGAACTTAGAGAGGCTACAGAGACAAACTGCAGCCCCTCTGACTGGAGCTGGTCTCAGAGCCACAACTAGTCCCGGTCACCTCCTCGGCTCCAGTGACCGGTTTAAACTCCTCTTGCTCAGCACTTCACATGTGCTGATCTCTTCGGTGTACCTGGTGGTGTAATCCAGTCCCTTCCGCCTGAAGGACTGTAAGCCCTCTGGTAACTATAGCGCTTTCAGGCCAGCGTTGCTCCCTTTTACGCACAGTTGGGCAAGAGGGGTCTAGGACCCCAAGTAGAGCACCCAAGTTCCACATAGACTCCTTCCCGCCCTCCTGAGTATCAGCAGCCACGCCTTCTCTCGTCAAGATGGTGACCCCTCCTCTCGCCTTTTGATGCCTGAGCACAAAGAATCCAAAGCACACAGGTAGCAGCTGTAGCTCATGGTCAATGGGCTGCTTGCCGGATCCTCTAGCAAGAGTATACCCCCCGGAGTGGGACCTCTGATCATGCAGGGTCCAGAGTGCAGGGGCAGCAGTTAATAAAGTCTTTCATGAGGTCACTGGGAGTGATGATGGTAAGAGGAGAAACTCCTTCCACCCTTGGTTCCCTCTCTTCCAGTGGGGACAGGACACCATGTTGAAAACTCTTCTTCATTGTATCTACTGCATCCTGAAGTATGGCCACACATCCTCACAGGGTGGTTCCTCCAGGCCGTGCCTTCAGCCAGCCATCCCAGCATGCTGTCAGGCCAGTGTGTCCTAGATGGTGCAGGATAGGAGACAACTCAGGGTCATGGGCCCATTCCCACTCGTCCTCTGCTGAGAAGTTAGTCCCTTGGTCAGATGCTGTGTTGAGTGGATGCCAATAAATCAGGCATATTCTGTAAGTCCCCGGACAGTGGTGGTGGCAGAGGTTCTGCAGAGAGGAAAAGCAAATCCATACTCACAGTGAGTGTCCATTTTGTGAGAATGAAACTTTATGCCTCCCAGGAAGATGGGAACTGAGTTTCATCAGTTTGATAACCAAGTGAGAAGAGCACCATGTTAGGGTCTCAGAGTCAGTCTCTGTTGCTGGCACATTTAACATTCAGAAAAGGCAAGAGGTAGGTCAGCTTTTCATACTGTTCATGGGGTTCTCAAGGAAAGAATGTTAAAGTGATTTTCCATTCCCTTCTCCAGTGGACCATGTTTTGTCAGAACTCTCCACCATGACCCATCTGTCTTGGGTGGCCCTACATGGCATGGCTCATTGAGTTAGACAAGGCTGTGATCCTTGTGATCAGTTTGGTTAGTTTTCTGTGATTGTGGTTTTCATTGTCTGGCCTCTGATGTATACGGATAAGAGGTTTGTCAGCTTTGGCTGTTGGGAGTCTGCACTATTGGGCCATGACATAGACTCACCTTCCCAGCCATGGCCTCTCTATTCATGTACCCATCATGCCAGGAACCAGATCAGTGAGTTCAGTCGCTCAGTTGTGTCCAACTCCTTGCGATCACATGGACTGCAGCACACTAGGACTCCATCACCAACTCCTGGAGCTTGCTCAAACTCATGTCCATCGAGTTGGTGTTGCCATCCAACCATCTCATCCTCTGTTGTCCCCTTCTCCTCCTGCCTTCAGTCTTCCCCAGCATCAGGGTCTTTTCCAAGGAGTCAGTTCTTCGCATCAGGTGTCCAATTCAGTCCTTCCAAAGAATGTTCAGGACTAATTTCCTTGAGGATTGACTGGTTTGATCTCCTTGCAGTCCAAGGGATTCTCAAGAGTCTTCTCTAACAATTGATGCTTCAAAAGAATCAATTCTTTGGCACTCAGCTTTCTTTATAGTCCAACTCTCACATCCATACGTGACTACTAGAAAACCATAGTTTGACTAGATGGACGTTTGTTGGCTAAATAATGTCTTTGCTTTTTAATTGGTTGCATCATCTGGCCAGGTCATCTTCCATGTGGATGCTTCTGGTGGGTGTGACCACATAAAAGAAAGGTCACACTTCACATTTCACACCTAATCCCATATGTCCATCTCCCTGCTCCACACTTCCTTGTCTCTGAACTTTTATTTTCAAGGGCCTTGACCAGCTTACCAGACCTTTCCCCACTGTGGATGAGTCTCTGTTGTTCTCACCTTGGGCCACTTTGCTTTCTTAACAAACTGTAGGACATGCTACACCACTCAGAGTTCCATCCATTAGGAAGATGTTCCCTAACTGCTCTTTCACAGCCAACTCTGAATGTGTCTCTAAAGCATGTATAATACAGCTGCTGTCCCTTTTTGCCTTGTGACAGCACATCATGCCACAAGAAAGAAGCTCAGGTATTTTTCTTCCCCTTCATCTGGACCCTAGGGATCTCTTCCCCATGTGGCTATAGGCTTGGGCTGAAGAAGGAGGGCAGTCCCATCCTGGTGGGTGACTTGGGGGCCTAGGCCACCTGCTCACACAACAGACTCAGTCCCACTAGCCCAGCTCAGCTTGAACTCTGGTGTCCCCTTCCCACCTGCAGAAGCAGTGTTGTGACTGTATAAATTGGTGGCTTTGAGAGAAAGCCCATCTAGTCCATCTGCCCAATAATGGGCAGTTCTGGATACTTCGTCCTTTGTTGTCTCAAGATCAAGTGTTCCTTCCCTACAAGGGCCCAGGAGGACACCAGGAGATGCTTTTCCAAGATGTGTAATTCCCTAATACAGGTGACATGCCTGAGTCTGTAACTCCAGGAGCTGACAGAGTGATTCTCTCACCACCGTTGCCATGAGTTCCTCTTACACTTTAGGGTGCTTGCATGCTGAGTCACTTCAGTCGTGTCCGGCTCTTTGTGACCCTATGGACTGTAACCCACTAGGCTCCTCTGTCCATGGGATTCTCTAAGCAAGAATACTGGAATGAGTTGCCATTTCCTGTCTCCAGGGATCTTCCCCCCCACCAGGGAATGACTCTGTGTCTCCTGTGCCTCCTACATTGCAGGTGGATTCTTTACTTGCTGAGCTTTCAGGGAAGCCCAAGGAGGGAGGAGGCAATATTAGGCAGGAATGGAAAGGTGGTATTGCGGTGTGTGTGTATGTGTGTGTGTGTGTGTGTATGTGTGTAGAGGGCAGGAGTGTAGGTGCATGTGGTCATTGGTTGTGGGAAGGCTCAGTCAGAGAGATTGCCACATGTAAAAAGTATCAATCTTGAGGTATAGAGTGATTCCTTGGGGCGAAAAATGAGACCAGCATGGCTGATGTTCAAAGAGGAAAGAGGGTAACATCAGATAAGGCTGGCAAAGAAGGCAAGGACTACATCATCCTAAGAGTTACAGACCATGTCACCCAACTCTTCCCATTCCTTTTGGGATGAAATGGGCCATTTGTGAGAGTCCTCTTCAGTAAATTAGATGAGTATCTAATGGTCTGAAACATATTTTTCTCACAGTCTTTATTACTACCTTAAGTAAGACCCATTTCTATTGCATTTTCTCTCTCAAAGTAATGACATTGGATTTTGACCTTCGTCAGTGAACATTTATTGACTAACCACATGTAAATGTTTAAGCATTTCTCCTATAGATTAGACATGTGGCTAGTATATAACTTTTTTCTTATATCATTTGAAGGCATTGGTGGGTCAATTTATAAATTAGAAGTGTTAAGTAGAAAGCATTTTTAGCATTGTACCTTTTGTAATTCTCACTCCTAGTTAGTTAACTTTGTCCTTATTATTCTAGGGAGAATAGAAACAATTTCTGTGGACAGTTTTGCTTGCTGAATGGGCATTTACACAAAAGCCATGCAGTGTTCCTTTTTTTTTTTTTTGGTACTATAGCTGTATCAGGAACAGTTTGATAGAGGGGAAAGCAAATGGACTTTGGAATCAGACAGACTAGTATAGGTTTGAGGTCTCTCTTCAGAAGTTCAGCTTTGTGGGGCTTTGGGACAGTCATTTCATCACTTCACCAAAAAAAAAGAAGAAGAAGAAATTCCTTGTTTGTTAAATGGAAATAATAAATGGTGGTTGTAAGAGTGCTTAATAATAAATGTGAAGTGCCTGCTATAGAAATTGTCAACAAAAATACACAGCAGTGTGTTGATGGTACATTGCGTCAAGTTAGACAATGTGAATTTTAATAGTTATATGTCACATTAATGCCAGTGACAGATAAAATAATAATTGCTGAGTTTTGCATGAAAACTTCCTCTACTTTTTGTGGAAGTATTTTGTTTTTTAAAATGTCTAGAGATATGGTATTGAATTAAATTATTTCATAGATATTCTATATCTTTCAGTGTATGGAATGACAATCTAATGAATAAAAATAAAAACTGCTCAAAAATAAAATACTTAATTATGAAATGTGTATATGTTATTCTATATGAAATCTGTGTATATGTTATTATATATAGTTATATGATTACTCTAACAAGATGTAATTTAAATGCTCTTTTACTTGAATTTTAAGGACAGGAATTCTGTGGTGCCTTATCTAAATTGAATTAAGTATTTTATAAAATTCAGTCTATCCGAGGGTTTGCCACTGTGCCAATTACAACGAGTCGGTTGACTTTCATTGGGATTCTAACAGCTTGACATTGCTAAGGGAGCCAAAAGAAATGGCCAGTGTGGTTAAAGACTGATTAAAGGTTCTGTTTTTCCTGAACCTAAACTTGGTTCGAAATAAAAAACACTTGAAAAAGTTTATTCTCTTTACTGGTAGATGTCTCTCTTTTCCATCCTCTTTCAGGACTTCGCTTACCATTTTACAGTCTTTGTATTCTACTTTGGAGCCTTTTTGCTGGAGGCAGCCACCACGTCGCTGCATGACCTACACTGCAATAGAACCGTGACTGTGCAGCCACTCCTGAGCGATAACCAGTATAACATAAACGTGGCAGCCACAGTAAGTGAGGGATGAACACTGCACCCACGCTTCCCCTCCCCATCAAGGTCTCTCAGAAACTCCTCTGGCAACAGTAGTTTTCTTAAATAATAGCCATCAGCATTAAACATATAATAGCTGTTTATCTGTACAGTTAACCTTATGAGCCAAGCCAAGTACTGTCATTACCCCAGTGCTGTGGATGATGAAGCTGAAGCACCAGGAGGTTGACATTCACACAAGACCATACCTATATGAGTGCTAGTGGTTGGCCTTGCGCAACAAAGTCTACTTTATGAAAAGAATTAATTGTGCTTTCTACTCCGTGTAGCTTCAGACATGGTCTTTGTCACAGACACAGATTTGTCCTTCCCTTTTTCTGCCTAAATGAAGCTGCCTTAGTAATCTTCCCCATGCTTTAAATTCTGCATTAACCCCCATTTTACCCATACACTCTGATAGAAGTAAATCTTTAGTTTCTCAGTTTTAATAACACTTAAATGGATGAGCCATTCATTTGTGACATTCTCTTGAGTCCCTCACTTTTCATTTCAGCATACCTTAGAGCATCAGTCAGTCTCCAGTCTTTCTGGCACTAGGGACTAGTTCTGTGGAAGACAGTTTTTTCACGGACCAGGGGTGCAAGGGGGATGGTTTCAGTATGATTCAAGCGCATTACATTTATTGTGCACTTTATTTCTATTATGATTGCATCAGTTCCACCTCAGATCATCAGGCATTAGATCTCGGAGGCTGGTGACCTCTGCCTTAGAGAGAGAACTCCTTTTCACTAGTAATAGATATCAAAAGTAGTCATTTATGCCGGGACCAGTCAGCCCAGAGTAGGTGAGTGAAATCCACTGAGCTGATGAGCTGACTTACAATAGGGGAACCATCTTGCAGATCAGATCAACTGATGACCAAAAATGTAAGTGGACTCCTGGTCAAAGCAGAAACTCCCTCCTGGCAGATGTATACTTGACATAAAATAAAAAATGCACCAGGCTTTTTTTAATGGAAATCATTTGAGATAGAACTTATCAGAAATTCTGTGCAAACATTAGAACAGTATTATAAATAGAACTGGGGGAGCCACATGCATACAGCCCCCCAGAATTCAATGGGGATAATGTAAATTTCATCATCTGCCAGTGCAAGGAAGACATGAAGGACAATTGTAACTACACGTGAGCATCCCAAAGTGCAGTAAGATTTACACTTTGAGATTTATGATTTAAGAGTATCATTCCTTAAGAAAATTTGAAATGTCCTGAAATTTTGTAAATCGTGTATGAAATGTGATAGTTTCCCAAATTTGACAAACCTGCACAGTTTGCATGTTACTACAAATATGTATAAAACCGAAAAAAACTTTTTTTGTTATTGAAACAAAACAAATTTTAATCAACCATCAAAGAAGAAACAGTGGATTTTATCCAAGATTAAAAAATCTCTCTCATGCTATTGTCATCTGAAATAGTCTTGTGAAAGGATAGCTAAGAAAGTGGGTCCTCAGAAGTAAGATGTTATCAGGCAGGTAGTAAAACAAAATTGTTGTTGTTTTAGATTTGGGAATATTTGTGACATTTGTCAGCTTTTCAGAATTCGTGGTGGTTGTGATTTCTTTTCATGTTCTAATTAAATATTCACGTTTGTACTTTAAAATAGTGGTCATTCTCTTTCAACAGAAAAGAAATGCCTAGATCAGAGATGTAAGATATATATGTAAATGTATACCTGACCCACTCCAGTACTCTTTGCCTGGAAAATCCCATGGATGGAGGAGCCTCGTAGGCTGCAGTCCATGGGGTCGCTAAGAGTCAGACACGACTGAGCAACTTCACTTTCACTTTTCCTTTCATGCACTGGAGAAGGAAATGGCAGCCCACTCCAGTGTTCTTGCCTGGAGAATCCCAGGGACGGCGGAGCCTGGTGGGCTGCCGTCTATGGGGTCACACAGAGTCGGGCACAACTGAAGCGACTTAGCAGCAGCAGCAGCATACCTGATTCACTTTGCTGTGCGCTGGAAACTAACACAACATTGGAAAGCAACTGTACGCTAGTAAAATTTCCTTAAAAAAGAGAGATGTATCTAGAGACAACCAGCAGAAGGGTGGGGGAAAGCAGCAGGATGGTAATTACACTGTAAAAATGTTCCCTAGGTGGATCTGATATTCCTTCTCAGAGCTCTGGTTTCCTGGTAAAAGGATTCCTGTACTAACTACATCATAATCTTTTAACATATTGAATGGTTTGGGGAGTTTTCTATGGATCATAAACCCCAGAAGGGTGAGGACAATACCTGTTACTTGTTTATATGTACCAAATGTACTGATGCACACATAGTTGATGCTAAAAAAATCCTTCTTGAATACGAAGGACAGTAATTGAGAACTCATGCACATCTGAGAACTATCTCCCACGCCAACCTGATGATTCATTCCTGTGGGTTTTCTGTTTAGCTCTACAGTCTCTTCCATTGTCACAGAAATAATCTGCTCCATCCTCGGGCCCTGAGAGCTACACTCTGTGTGGCTGAGATCACTGTGCAGGTAGACATCTCATCATGAAGTTTTGAATATGCATCATGTTAGGGGTCTCACCAGTGCAATGCCTAACAAGTGAGTCCAGTGTGTGAACAAAGGCTCAGCCTAAGGCTGTCCACAAATGATGTCCTATTATTAGGGGCTAGAATGTTTAAAAGAAGGGGTTAATGGTATGAGAGGATAAAATCGTTAAAAAAAAAAAAGAATCTAAATCATTTTCTTAAGTGTTGAAGTATCTTTAAGTAGGCTGATCAGTTTTCAGACAGTTGTTCCTTTGGACAAATGATTTCTTAAAGTCAGTGTTATGAATCTGATAAGAATTTTTGTTTCTTCTTTCTTAGATTTTTGCCTTTGTGACGACAGCTTGTTATGGTTGCAGTTTGGGTCTGGCTTTACGAAGATGGCGACCGTAACACTCCTTAAAGACTAACTACTGCTTGTGTGTTAGTTTCATTTGTGTACTTTTTATGTCTTGATCAATTTGGGTACCGTTTTGTTCAGATATAACAATATCCCCAAAGTAATTTGTTTGGTATATGGAGAGAATCTAAGTATCCATCCATCTAAGTATCCATCATTTCATGGATTGAAATTTTATTATGATGTTAGGAAATGGCCTTTAGTTTTACATTTATCTGTCTCTTTCTTTTTCTTATTTTAAAGAATATTTCCCTTTACATCCATAAAATACATAGATATCATTCATGCAAAAGGGGTATCTCTTGTATTAGTTGCCAAATCACCCGAACCTTAATTTTAATAGGTAACTAAAATTCCTGAAGAAAAACACATTTAAAATAAGGTTCCCACTGAACTCTGTGTTTTAGTGTAAAATGGAGATCAGCATTCTTTTTCTCTAAAGGTACAGATAGTAAATATTTTAGGCTTTGTGAGCCATACAGTCTCTGTCACAAGTACTCATCTCTGCTGTTACTATGAAAACAGCCGCAGACATATGAAATGAGTGAGTGTAGCTGTGTGTTCCAGTAAATCTTTATTTTCAAAAACCAGCAGCAGACTGGACTTGGTCTGTGACTACAGGCTATTGTTTGCTGACCTCTGGTTTAAAACCTTGGCTATGGGTTTTGTATTTTATTAAACTGGTCCTCAGAGGTCTAAACTGAATTCGACAAGCCATGTGATATTTAGTCTCGTTCAGTAATCACACTGCCTTTGGGTTAATGGTCAGTTACCCTTGAAGCAGCTGTAGCATCTCAGGCTAATTCAGGCAGAGTCTTGAGTACAAGAAAAAGTAATTTATGAAGTGAACCCTAGTGGCTTAATCCACCTAAATGTTTTCCTAACAACTGAGCAAAATGCTTAGCTGGCATTCTTAAAACAAGAGCCCCAGAGACCTCTAAGCCACTCCTGAAATGGGTATCTAGTGCCTGATGTTTTACTTTGGGTTTATTTATGCTTCAAATAGCAGCTGTTTGTCCTGTGCATGAGTAGATGAGTATTTTTATGTGGATATCTGAAGCTTTACCCAATAGAGCTCTCCAAAGGGTAAATGTTTTACTGCTAATTCTTTTACATGACTCTAAGTTAAATTCAAACAGAACATGAGATGTAACTTAAAGTTGCAGATTCTCATTTAGAGAATAGTCCTATGTTGTTTTGCACTGGTGAGAAATACATAGAATCAGTTTTCAAGGAACAGTGGTCACAAAAGCTATCTCTGGCTGAATAGCACGGAAAAGTATTTTAAGCCACCTCAGAGACCCTGGTCATGGCAAAGTGCCAAAATGGCTTGAGAACAAGTTAGAGTTAGTCCCCAGCTCACACCACCTGTCCAAGTGAGATACTTATCCCTTGCCCCAAGAGGGCAACCTCTGGGAAAAGAGAGTTTTGATTATTTTATATTTTCAGCCCTTTGTATTTTGGTTGAATCATCCCCTACAAGTGCCATGTATAAGTAGAGCAGTTAGATTTCATGAAACAATCCTGAATGAGCAGCATAATCAATGCTCAGTGATCAAATGCTGTTTATGTAATAATCCCTTAGGAAGAAGAATCTTGTTAGGGGTTGGTTTGTGATGTAACTATAAAGATAAAAGGTATATTTAATATGTGGCAAGAAGAAACCAGTCTTATGACTTTATCATAGCTTTTCTATAAAAATCCAACTTCCTTGGTTTTTCCAGTTCCATACCACACACTTAAACCTGTATTATAAATGGTCTATTACAAAGTCATAAATGTGCCATAAGGATATATCATCCATTCCGGCTGGAATTGTTAAAAGTCTGCTAGATTTAGTCGTGAGATTATATTTTTATTTCCAAGGTATAACAGGTCCATGCTGCTTGGTGGCATTAAATTAAATGATTTCGTGAAACTGCCTTGATGGCACTTTTATAAATGCATTGCTTCTCGATCATAAAGAACCAAGCCTAGAAGTCATTTAACTGTGAATACTTAGAATTGTAGATTAATCATGATCTAGATTTGGGAGTTGACTGACAAAGCACTGAACAAAAATTATAGCATTTGAGAATTTCTTTGTATACCTTAGCTGTAAAAATGAGAAAGTGTTGGTTGGTCTTAAAATCTGGTAACTCCATGATGAAAATAAATTTATTTTATAAGTGTTATGACTCTAATAAAGTATTCATTTGATAATCTTTGGGGGTCATCTATTTTTTATATAATTCACTTTGAAATTCAGTTAAAGGTTTGATATAAACGACAAATTTGGAGCTTCTAGACTCATAATATATCAGAGTTCTATTTTAAACATTTCTATGTAAAAGACAGTCTGCCAGCAAGTCTTTTTTATTTTTATTTTTGGTCAAGATTCAAGAGGTAACTCTTTGAAAATATTATAAGTGAAGTGAAGTGAAGTCGCTCAGTCACGTCAGACTCTTTGCGACCCCGTGGACTGTAGCCTACCAGGCTCCTCCATCCATGGGGTTTTCCAAGCAAGAATACTGGAGTGGTTTGCCATTTCCTTCTCTGGGGAATCTTCCCAACCCAGGGATCGAACCCAGACCTCCTGCACTGCAGGCAGACGCTTTACCGTCTGAGCCACTAGGGAACTATTTTGAAGAAAGTATTATAAAGGAAGCTTAAATTATACTTTGTTTTATTTTAAAACCATTTATATAGGCTTAATACATGCCAGGCAGTGTTCTGAACATTTTTTTTCAAATATTAATTAATCCTTATTGTAACAACTCTATGGAGTAGATATTATTGCCACATTTCAAAGACAGGGGAGCCAAAACATAGACCATAGGAAACACCCAGGGTCATGTACCTATCAAGTGGGAAAGCTGGTATGTAAACCTCAGTCTGGCTTCAAAGTCCAGGTTCATCATGGTTGTGGATCCCTTAGTCCTCCAGTTTTTGCAATTTTATATAACCAAAAATATGACTCCTTTCAAAGAAGGTTTTACAAGAATGCTTAACACACAACTGCTTATGATAGATGTTACCTTCTAGAGCTTTTTTTTTTTCTGCCACAACCAAGGGCTCACGAGTTTAGCTGTAAGAACTTAGACCAGATTTGCAAAATGGGGAAAAAGTGAAGCTACTGTGGTCTGCAAAGTTCTCCAGACTGCCTCAATATTGCTCTGGTCCATTCATTCTGGTTCTGAACTAGGGGCTTCAGTCACTCCATTGCCTTACATCAGTTTAGCCCTCATTCATCAAGTCCTAAATTGACCTGGCTTTTTTATCACCCCTGGAACTGACATCAGAAAGGTTTTCTAGCCTGAGATACACCATTCAACCTTTACACATGAAGTATGAATATGCACCTCTGCATATGCCAGAATCTGGAATTCTAAGTCATCATCATGGAAGGTTCTGTCCTCAACATCATGCTTCAAGTTTGTCTCTAAGTGACCCAGTTTCTCAGGGGGCAGCTTAATGTATTCATGGGAGAAAGGTCCAGGGTTTTGGAGAGACGTGATTATCTTTAGTGTATACATATATGTATGTGTATGTGTGTGTGTGTGTCTATATATATATATATATATATATATATATATATAGTATTTTGAAAGTTCAGCTTTTTTAGTGAGCATGTATTAGGCTGTACCCTGAGCAATAGGTCAATAAAAGTTCCTCAATCTGGCACCTTTTGTCAAGGCTTCCATGGCTGGCTTTCTCACTCTCTTTGGATCTCAAGTCAGTTGTCACCTTTGCAGGCCCTCCCTGCGAACTGAGTTTAAGCTTGAATCTCACACCAGCACTCCTGTTCTCCTTTCCTGCATTTTCTCCATGGCACTTATGATATAGATTTTCAATATATAGCACATACTTCGTTTGTCCTCTTCTCCACTGGAGTGTAAGGCTTATGGAGAGGAATATTTTTGTTTAGAGCTTTATCTCTGGTGCCTAGAATAGAGCATAGCAAAGAGCAGGTACTTGGTAATTATATACTGAGTTAGAGAATGAATATTGATGACAATAACTTACTCTTGTATTCTATCAATATGTTCTATAAAAACTGATCTTACCAGCACTTGAAAATTTCTGGTATGTTTTTCACCTAGTTCTGGATGTATTTCGGGTGAAACCTAACCTTAAAGGTCGTCTACTAATTAAATGTATGCATATTACCAAAATGTTGTATAATCAGTCTTCTATAGCAGAGAAACTGTAATAATAAAAACTTAACATTTCATGTAAACTCATTAGATTTTTATTCAAACATTTTCATGACTAAAGATATAACTGCACACTCAACTGACTTAGGTAATCCTGAAAGCATCATGAGAACTAAGAATTAATTATTAAAAAGACTGTCATTTTTCTATAAATGATCAGAGTGGAGGGCTCTGACTAGTAGTTTTGGCCAGAAATTATGAGAGTGACTGTTGCAAACCTAACAAGAGGTGGAGGTATCTATAATATGGCATTTTGATTTTGCATGTCTCCCAATTCCAAGCTTTATCCTTGGGTATGTATTTATGAGAGGTACTCTAAAATGAAGGGTATTGTTGAATTCCCTGTATTCAGTTTAATGTGCCATCCTAAGTAGGCCTGATATCCTGAGTCAAGGTACAGTTTAGCTGACGCAGTGATGTTCTGATGCATCAGTATCCTGGGCTGCATTGCCTTTTTATGAAATTCTACTTGCTATTGATTTTTAAGTATGCCACCTTGCTGAATACACTGCAGTTTTTGTATGGAAATTTTTTGAAGTTAAGTAAACTCATTTATTTACATACATAAGTATATAAAGTATTTAACAGCAATTGAATAAAGAATTGATAATTTTAGGCTTAACAGTTGTCTCAGTTTTTGAACATACATACCCTATTTAGCATATAAAATGTATGAACTAGTGTCAACCTATTTTAAGTATTAGTAAAATATTTTTAATTTTTTCTTTTTTTTGGCTGCCTTGTGACTTCTGAGATCTTAGTTCCCTGACCAGGGATCAAACCCTGGCCCTCAGCCGTGAAAGCTCAGAGTCCTAATCACTGGACCCCCAGGAAATTCCCAAATTATTTTAATTTTAAATTTTAAAAAATAGTTAAAATATTATCTTTTGTTTGACAGAAGTGTTAATGTCTCATTTAGACACACATTTTGGTAAGAGAAGATCTATTTTAGGGTCTGGTGGCCACAGGCATTGACTTTAACAATACCTTGGCTTTGGATTCCTGGTGAGATGATAGCTCCTCCATTTCTTTTGAGTGAAAAAGTTGTCTAAATCTCAGAAATCAACTCTTGGCCAAAGAAACTTTTAAGAACAAATAAATTCTCAGCACATGGATATATTAGGCTCTTTTTCAATGTAAGATAAGTAACAGTTGCCTCAGCTTTTTTTTTTTTTAATATATAGTTATACTTTCAACATGGATTATGCATACATCCTAAGTTGCTTCAGTTGTGTTGGACTCTGAAACTCCATGCACTTTAGCCCACCTGTCCAGGAGGCTCCTCTGTCCAGGAGATTCTCCAGGCAAGGATACTGGAGTGGATAGCCATTCCCTTCTCCAGGGGATCTTTCCAACCCAGGGATCAAACCCACATCTCATTTTTTACAGTTGAGCCACCAGGAAGCCCTCAGTGTGAATAAGGAAAGTATAATTCGCATATAAAAGGTATCGTTTCATGGATATTATTCACCATGAAACTAAATAAACATTTAAATAGGGAATAATATTCCATTAAGAGCTGTATGATTTGAGGTGAGTCCATTTATCCAAACCTATATCCTCATCTATCAACGGTGAGCATAGTTACAAACCTGTGGCAGTAGATCCTTCGGAAACAAGAACCCAAGATAGAGTTAAAAGTTCAAGCAATTTATTGGAAGTAATGCCTATGAAAGGTCAAGAGGAAAGGGGGGAAAAAATAGGAAGAGTTCCAGGCTGTGTTCTAGCTCTGAGAAAGACTCAGAGGAGCTCAGGAACCAACTCAGCAGGGAGCTCCAGCACCATGCAGGTATCCCTCACTAGCTAGAAGAGATGAGCCCTTGTATCTGCACCGTGCTCAATCACTGGCTGTGGGTTGCCCAGAAAGACTATGACCTCAGCTCGCTGGCTGAAAAGCTAAAGGAAGGTTGAAGGCACGGCACTCCCGGGGGATGGTTCTTCGTGGGAGCTCTGAACAGCACTCTGGGCTACCGCCACTTGCTGCTCCGTAAGTCACACGGATCCACTTCTCCATGTGCGTCATGGGAGCCACTTCTCCTGGGTTCCTGTGGGCCTCTTGTTCTGAGAGAAGAATTAGAACAGGGATGTTACACCGGACTACTAGCCTCATGACTGCAGGTGGACTTGAAGCCATAACTGACACTCGTCATCTCTCTGTGATTATCTACCTGAATTCTGCACCTTCCTTTCCAGGTCTTTCATGTCTCTGGTGTTGTGACCCAAACCCTCATCTCTGAGGGGTTTGCACTGTCCCCTGGGGTTAAGGAATTCTTTCTTATTCACTCTTATGTTCTTCTTTTCTTGATCAAGCATCCTTAAGATCCAATTTCATTGGTACTCCCCTGCTCCTGCAAATAAAATGCTAGTTAATTTTTGCAACTGTCTTGGATTATTCTCTCTTTCTTTTTTTAAAATGAAACCCAACATGAATTCAGCAGGGCTATTCTGAGGGGGTCACTCAGTAGAAAGGTGGGGACATGTCCTGGGGAAGAGTTTCTTTCCCGTGTCTTTTCTGTCTGCAGGGGAAAGTACTAACTTTTAATAAGGAGGGATGAGGGATGAACTACCTCTGAAGCTCCAAGCGTTTCAGGGAATTCTAGAGAGCCACAGTCTTTGGCAGTATCTGGGCTTCCCAGGTGGTGCAGTGGTTAAAGAATCCTCCTGTCAATGCAGGAGAAGCTGGAGACTGGGTTTGACCCCTGGTTCAGGAAAGTCCCCCGGAGTAGGAAATGGCAGCCCTCTCCAGTATTCTTGCCTGGAGAATCCCCATGGACAGAGGAGACTCGCAGGTTACAGTCTGTGGGTTCGCAAAGAGTTGGACATGACTATGCATGCACATATATTCAAACATCCCCATCCCATGTTTCAAGGGCCCAGGCTTTCCTCCTCAGGATGCTGAATCTAGCATTACAGATTTGCCTTAGTAGAGAATGCTTTGAGATTCAGTAAACCTGTCAGATCTTGAGTGTGCTCTTTAGCTGTGTTATCCTCACAATGTTTATAATTTC